TCGTCAAGCACTAGAGGTAGCTTGTCCATTAACGTACAGTAGGGGAAGAATTACACCTCCTTGGTGGTCCCCAATACTTAGGAACATGCAGAAAAATTGCAGGAAGCAATTCAATTTTGCCAAACTATCCCAAGAAGATATAGAGTGGGATAACTATCATAACCACCTTCGGGCATACAAAAAGGAGGTAAGATAATGACACAGTCGAAACATAGCATCGGATACTTTCAGAAGTCAGATCACAGCTGGACGGAATGCAGTAAAGAGACTCTGGGCCTCTGGGCAATATTGCCTTCCCCTCCAGAGAGGAGTGGGAAATGGATGTAGTGGATAAGGAAGCAGGGATAAGCTTCTATAGGGATGGTTCCAAGCTGGATAACCGAGTAGGCGGCGGTGTCTTCTCGGCTAAACTAGATACCAAAATCGCCTTCCGGTTACCAGACCACTGCAGTGTCTTCCAAGCAGAAGTCACTGCAATTAAAGAAAGCCTTCTTGTACTAACAAAAAGCGTAATCACAACAAGAAGTGTATTTATATATACAGACAGACAGGCGGCTTTGAAATCTCTGATGTCTCATAGGATTTCGTCGAAGACAGTGAAGGATTGCCATGATCTTCTAGCGGATCTGTCATCCTATTTCACGGTAAATCTGCAATGGGTTCCAGGACACAGTGACATCCCTGGGAACTGCGTAGCAGATGAACTAGCCAGAACAGGCACCTCCCTACAACGAGATCCTGGTAAGGTGTACATAAATATGCCTCTGGCTACGATAGATACCTAATCGACAAACATGTCATTAATATAGCCGAGTGTCAGTGGAATCAATTCCTGACCTGCTCAAGCAGCAGGCAAACGTGGCAAGAATGGAATATGAGCCGCACATGCCGACTGTTAAAATTCAAGAGGAATGATATAAGAACTTTCGTAGGAGTACTAACAGGCCACTGTCTAATAGACAGACATGCAAGTAGACTTGGCGCGCCATATAACGACTATTGTAGAAGCTGTCAGGAAGTAGAAGAGGAGGAGACCATTAAACGTCTTCTATGCGATTGCGCAGCACTATATAGGAAAAGAATCGCAACCATCGGTCGTGGGTTTCTTGACGACGTCTCGGAGGTTGCACAGATAAAACTTGTCTCACTGATAAACTTCATCAGAAGTACGGGGTGGTTCAGAAAGGAGCCAATAGAGTGAGGGGATCACAGTCCCAGTGGTATCACAATGGGCCTCCTAAAGGCCTAAGTGTGTCGAATGACAACCACTTTACCTACCTACCTACCTACCTAAGGACCGTATTGCTGCTTACTTACTCTCCTTTCTTCATTTACAAAATTTAGAACATTCCCTCTGAGTTCTTCAGGCTTTATAAAATACGTTTAACCAGCTTGAGACATAGCTTCCAAACATCCACTCATTGTTAATTTAGTTCTCAGTGCTTCGGTTTGAAAATATTCATATCGTTTGGTGGAAACTTTTCAAGCTTGTACTGTATAAGTACTATACTGTACTGTACAATAATTGTGAAAGAAACCCGCGAATGTTCAAAAAACTGTGCCCTGTTTAGAACTATTTATTATTCCAGGGGTATATTCAAATATAATTTACACTCTTTTGTAGCTTTGGTATATTTGACCATTGCGTTTTTTCATTAGACCTCATTGATCTCAGCCTTTAACAGAACATTCTTTATTAAAGGGGGCTTAGTCCTAGAAACGTTGCCAGTCTTTGTCTTCAATTAATAAAATCAACAATTTAAATTATCTTCTGCTGACTTTTGTGAGTAAGTTTAATTCTCTCGATATATGTATGTATGTATCCATTGGAAAAATATTCTCTTCAATCGACAAGTATGTATGAGATCTTAATCGCATTAAAGTTAAAAAGGGCGACGGAATGTATAAATGTAATTATCTCTCAATATTTGCACAACTACGCGCCTTTACGTGTGTGAGTGTGTGTTGCAGTGTGTTCGAAATTAATTATTTGTTGGTAAATGTTAAGCTTGCAAATAACCAATTTAATTGAAGCACACAACTACCCACAACAAAAGTCAATTACATACTCAATTCACGAGCACATCCTTTTGTAATACACATATATTACATAGTATGTTTACATGTGTATTCGTGAGCTGAATCGAAAAGTTGCCAATTGATACAACATATTTATTTATTCTGATGGCTTAAAGTTCTTCATCTGTGAATGAATAGGCTGCATGGGCTTAAGAGCTCCATCAACCAGGATGATGGGCCCCATCAACGCTGCGGTGTTCTCTTTAGTCTCTTACAGCATTCATTTGACGGGATAATGCATTCTGTTTCGTAGCCATTGAGCCGGCTGACTTCCTTAATGTGACATCGTGCCGGCAACACAACTTTGTAATGCGACAACAATAAACAAAGGACGGACGCTGTATGCTCTCACATGAAATTCATGTGTTTAATTTATTTATCATTATGAGAATTTTAATTACACTTTGATCAATCGCTTAAACAACAACGTGTGTGTGTCTGTTAATGCCTCCGTTAGGCTGTCGGAAAATAATTGCGTGTAAATAACACAGGAGGAATTCAGTAAGGGAAGCGCTGTTGTTGAAAGAATGTTATAACATAATATAATAAGCATATTAATTATTTCATTAGTATTGTTGATTTATTTTAATACTATCAGTTGCGTTGAATAAAATTAAGTTGGCGCATTGATAACCGTTATTTCGTCGTAACTTCGCAAATTCAACACAGCAGACCATATTGTTCAACATACCGTTATCTAATGCTAGGATAGAAGGTAAAAGCATGTAACCATTAAATTTATCAGAGATATCAAGAAACTGTTTTAAACTAAGGTTTATCGCAAAAGTTATTTTGTATCCAGTATTTTTATGGTATACTCGTACTCTCGCAACTTGTTGCACAGTAGTTGAAATAAGTCGTTTTGGTATCTCGTCATACTGTGTGAAAATGCGTGCAATCGGGTAATAAGCACGCCCACTCCCCATATAATGGTTATGTTAGAAACCACTAAAAGTGCGATAACTCACTGAATAAATACGCCACAAGCATTAAATTTCGCAATAGTAGAGAAGGGCTTTATAGGAGAAGGTAAAAAAATTGGACAATGGGGGTTGCACTGCCCACTTTTGGGTTAAATCATTTATCTCGGAAACTACTTGACCGATATCAACTTTTGGTGTGTGAGGTTACAAAGCCATTCCAACAACGCCTAATTCCCATATAACAAACTTTTAAATTCTGTTTCATTCTTTTACTTTACAGTATACAAATCAATCATCAATGAAGTTATCAGAATAAAACTTTGTACAAAGAGTGTCCTCAAGGTATTTTATCTTACGTCGTAATCTTAAAATGGTCGAAATCGAATTATAACTAATGCCAAAAATGGATAAAATCGAGTATATACTTCTTTTAGCAACCATGTATTTTATATACATATATAGATTATACATTATATATTATAAATGTTCCAACTTTCTGTTGACTTTATACCTCATCTATCGAATAAAATCTAAGGAATCTCAATGAAATGTCTTTCTAATAACAGTGTATCCTCTGTATTAATTGGATGAAATCATGGCGATACTTTCCCTAGTTTAATATAAAGTTTTGCCTGAACCCTGAAGGAGTTTCCCATACTTTGATCCCTGTAAGTTGCAAGAGTATGAAAGATCGGCCTTAAGTACTTCATACGAGTCAGGTGATTCTTGTATTTTACAGTATACAAATCAACCGCTAAGGAATATACAGGGATACAACTTCACACATACAGTTTTTAAGGTATGCCATTTCTCGTCTAAACATTTTCGAAAGCGAACCATAACGATTCTACTCGTTTTTGGATATGTTGATATTGCATTACTATACCATAGTATATAGCTGCCATACAAACTGAACGATTGAAATCAAGAAGTACTCGTTTACACTCGAACTTAGTACTTCCTTACTTGTTATAAATTTATTTATTTTCACAGATATATTGACTTAGAATCCGAGTAGAAATATTATATTTTAAAGTCAGTATTATACATAAATAAATCTAAGAAAACTCAGCGGCAATGTAGGACAGGGTTCACTAATTTGCAAATCAATTTGCGAATCAGTTTATTGGAAAGTATATATATATTTCATTTTCGTTTGTCCAAATTTTTTAAAATTTGAAATTGAAATCATGTAAACCAGCTGTGGAATCTTTACCTACAAATATAACGTTGTTGATATTATACTTTAGACAGTTACTGCACTTTTAGTAGTTTCGAATATAACCGTAATCTCTAATAGTGTTGGTACCCAATTAAAAATAAATCATAAAATGCAATGTTTCAGTTAAGTTCGGTTGAAATAGCTCTTATAGTTAGCCACGACGAAAATATACCTGGGAGCTCCACATTGGTCAAGACTATGACAATTATTGAAAATAATGAGAGGGGCCTGGAAATCGATTTCCTTTTTAAATGCACCGAAATTCATTAAGTAAATTATTTTAACGTATACTGGATTTGAAAGAATATTTTCCTGTGAAAAAGATTTTCATTTCATTTTAATGCTTATGTATTGTAAATACTTTTATAAGTATATAGATATTTTTAAATTACGAAATAAGCCCGCTAACAAGCCAACAGCTTAACAACACACGGCTATCACGTTTCCATTTTACCCTTCCTCTCTTTTGTAGTGTGTCATCCACAAGCTAACCTTTATTCCCGACGTGTGCTAACGACATTAATTTAATCCACTTTATTTTTTAATTGCTACCTACTTTTTCGTCATGCCTACCATCGGTAACGAGCGTCATCAATTCCACCCAATCATCGGTAGAGTGCCGCTTTTTGCTCTTCGATCCACTAAATGACCGTCGTTAAGCCCGAATTCGGGCTATCCACATTAAACACAATCAAATACACCTGCATTTACATATGGTGTGTGCAAGTATGACACTTATCTGCTGACATGCGGTAAAAGTGCTCGGAGGTACTTACGTGTGCAGAAGCGTGGCTCGTCGCTGCCGTCGCCGCAGTCATTAATGTTGTTGCAGTATTTGCTGAGCGGCACGCAGCGCATGTTCGCGCAGGCAAACTCGGACAGTGAGCATTGCTGCTGCGCGCCACTGGCCCCCGGCTTGGAGGTGGCGGTGGCCATCACTGCCGCCACCATGGGCGCCAAGGGCAGCGATGTTGCATCTGTTCTGGCAGTGGTTGTGTTGAAGGTGGAAGACGTGGCTGTTGCCGTTGTTGTGGTCGCTGCCGAGGAAATGCAGAGGAAGCACAACATCAATAGTGGCACAAAGGCTCGGGCAGTGGTGGGGTGGTTAGTGTTTTTAAGGATTGCTCTTGTAATTGTTGCGCCTCCGCTAATGGTCTGAACGCTACTCGCTTTCATTGTTGTTGGTGCGACTGATGTTGATGGTAACCGAAAACCAGCGAACAGACTGCTGTACAAAGTCGGCAAGCAACTGGGCTGCGGCCATTTCAAGTGATTGCCATCGGTTGTGGTTGCTTTTCGTGCAGTTTGAGTCGCTGTGTATGTGTGTGCCACCAGCTTCAACACCCGCATCGCCGTCGTCATCAGCGCTGCTGTTTTTGATTTCGGAACTGCGCTTTTAGTTGTAGTTGTTTTAGGTTGAATTGACCCCTCTGTGTATGTGTATGTTGGGTTGCTTTGCTTTGTGGAAGTTGCACGTTTTATAGTGGCAGCGGCGTTCTTGCGCGCATTTGCAGCGAGGACAGCGTGGCTCCACGGAGCGTATGTGGAATCCTTGGAAGCATCCAATTTACATTGCTGCTCTTGTGGCAGTGCATGTTGCTTCTCACATGTGCGCTGATTGCAGTCTCGCTGTTGCACGTTCGTGCTCTGGCAGTTCTTCGAAGGCGGCGAGTTTTCTTTGTTATTGGTTGTATTGCTTTTATTTTTATCACTGCTGACCAAGGGGCAGTGACTGTGACTTTCGGCAATGTTCAGCATCTGTCTGAGCGGTTGAGTGGTTGTTTTGGTGTTTTTGTTGTACATATCCGTTTGTTGTTGTTCCTGGGATTTTAAGGGCTTTTTGCTTTTGAATCTCTGCCGCCATTTTATGGACATTATTGCATCTGGAAATGAAAGTAAAAATTAAAACAGTGCATTTCTTGTCACTGCATGTATGTATGTGTGTAAGTTCGTGTGCATGTGTATCGGTATTTCTGCATGAGAGTATGGACGGAAAGCATTTCGCGTCATATATTAATTATATCACATGTATTACCAGTATCAGTTTGAATATTTACATTCACTATTACAGCCTCCTGCACATAAATGGACACACTTAAAATACTTATGGAAATTATACACCCAAAATTCACTCACGCTATTTACAGTTAATATTTTATAAACATATTTGAAATGCTAAATGCCATAAGACCTATTTCATTTATATAGTAAAATAGTACAACACTTTTTTAGCTTTAGAAAAGCCATACAAATGAATTTAAAGACAATATTATATAATATTAGGTTGGCCGTTATTTCCCTCCGCTTTTTTGTCTTTTGAATTTCGCGGCTATGTACAAAGCGCTACAGAGCTCGTATCTGGCAACACTATACATAATTTGAAAGGTCTTGACATAACCTAGAAAACAACGCTATGCATAATTAGTTTGGATATTGCGTTCAACAGTTATAGACGTGTAAACATGGCGTTCACTAACGCCGATATTCGCGCTATTTTAAAGTTTTCCTTCGTTAAAGGCAAATCCGCTAGAGAATCACTTTCGAACCGCGGAGGAATGGTTTCGACGATTCAGAGCCGGTGAAAACGACACCATGGATAAGCCAGCCGGCGGAAGACCTGTGACGACAAATACCGATCAAATCATGGAATACATCGAGTTAGACCGGCATATGGCATCTCGTGACATCGCCCAGGAGATGGGAGTTAGTCACCAAACCATTTTGAAACATCTGCAGAAGGCTGGATACAAAAAAAAGTTTGATGTTTGGGTGCCGCATAATTTGACGCAAAAAAACCTTCTGGACCGAATCAACGCCTGCGATATGCTGCTGAAACGGAACGAACTCGTCCCATTCTTGAAGCGGATGGTGACTGGCGACGAAAAATGGATCACATACGACAATATCAAGCGAAAACGGTCCTGGTCGAAGGCCGGTGAATCGTTCCAAACAGTGGCCAAGCCGGGATTGACGGCCAGGAAGGTTTTGCTGTGTGTTTGGTGGGATTGGAAGGGAATCATCCACTATGAGCTGCTCCCATATGGCCAGACGCTTAATTCTACCATCTACTGCGAACAACTGGACCGCTTGAAGCAGGCGATCGACCAGAAGCGTCCAGAATTGGCCAACAGGAAGGGTGTAGTGTTCCACCAGGACAACGCCAGACCACACACTTCGTTGATGACTCGTCAGAAGCTACGGGAGCTCGGATGGGAGGTTTTATCGCATCCACCATATAGCCCGGACGTAGCGCCAAGTGATTACCACCTGTTCCTGTCCATGGCGAATGCCCTTGGTGGTGTGAAGTTGAACTCAAAAGAGGCCTGTGAAAAGTGACTGTCCGAATTCTTCGCAAATAAGGAGGGGGGCTTCTACGAGGAAGGTATTATGAAGTTGCCGTCTAGATGGAAACAGATCATCGAACAAAACGGCGCATATTTTAACTAAATCCGATCACTGTAACACTTTTTATAAAGCATTGAATGAAGAGCAAAAAAGCGGAAGGGAAATAACGGCCAACCTTTACATTACATTAGCTTCTGTAATCCAGAAGGGGTAATGTCTCCAACGCGTCGAGTTGAATTCAGAAAAACCTTAGATACCCGTTTTAAAACATTTTAAAAAGTGGGTGTGGCCTACAAAAGCTTAATCAAATCAAGCCAAACTTAGTGAGAGCAAGTCTTTTATCCTCCTCATCGGACACTATCAAAATGGGTGGAATTAATTAAATCACCAAGCACCAGGATGATACTTAAGTCTTTCACATACCTAAAAGAAAAGTTTCTAACATTCACTTGCTTTTTTCCGTATATATCTTTTAAAGTTTGAGACATCTTAGCATAACTTTCTGAACGTATAATATCGTATATACTATAGTTTAATACCAAAGATTCATACATCGATCCAAACCCTCTCCTAGGGATGATAAACTTGATATAGTGATTTCCGTTTATCCAATTCATGCTAACAGTTCATGTTGGTAAAAATATGATATTTGAATGAATCGATCCTTTGGTTACTTTTTCCTCATATAGGACAAAAAACAATTAAGCTCTTTGGTGGAGTTGATGTCAAATATATCTCATTTGAGTTCGATTTTAATAAAAATATTTAAATCGTCGTTTTGGTCAGAAATGCATTCGCAGTCTTGATAATCCGACAGTTCACATAATTCGGCAAGAAAATTGATAAAAACAAGTAAGAAAGAGATAAGTTCGGGTGAAGGGTTAAGTTCAGTGTATGGGGGGCTTAGACATACCCCATATATTGACTAACATAAGTGGTTTAAAATCAACTAGAAAATTGGAAATCATTATATCGGGTGTATTTGGGCTAAGAGAATGTCTAGACTAATTGCGTTAATTTCAGAATACACACTCTGACTGATATACTTGTATGCGCCATAAAGTCTGCTAGAACAACAAAAATCATTATAATATATGGTACCTGGGGTAATTCTTTGCAAGTTTGAAATCTTTATATTAGGAATATGAAGGCTAGGGGTAGAATTGACCCGATCTTATTTATTTTAGACAAAAGGACACACTGTTTTTAGATGGCGATGCTATTTTAATTTAATTAAGATATTTCTCATATTAGCCAGTGTATACGATATAGAGTCAACCGAAAGATCGAAAATTTTTTAATAAAAACATTTGTTTTGCTTCATTTGGCTTAAGTGGCTGGGGAGATGTATACATTAAAAATATTTGAGGGCGTGGCCACACATACATTTTAAAGTTTTTTTTAAACACAGATGCCACTCCCTAATTCGATTCGTTGTACTGAATAAAAAATATGTATTTTGTTAAAGCGTTTAATTATGGCACTTTATAGGTTTACGATTAATGGTGTTTTGTGGGCGTGGCAATAATCTTATTCCGCCCATTTACAATATCAACACCTCTAGAGACATACAGTCACCCGAAATTCAACTCGACTCATCATCCTGATCTTTTATATATATATATAAGTCTATATGTATCTCGACTGATTTTAGGAGATACAAACAACCGTTAGTTGAAAAAACCTATTATATTCATTTTGCGGAAGTATAGAAATAGTGGTGCGTTATATGACCCAAACTGTACGCATTCAGAAGGGGACTTGAGTAGAGAAATAAGCAGAATGATCAGGAGTAAAATGGCTTAAGTGTAACACTATTTTAAAAAGGCTTTTGTTAACTGGCAGCGTTGGTTAATTATGGTTAAAAATGACTTCCAATTATATCATCAATAATGTAATTACATAAAACGACTTCTTACTTCGTTCCAACTCGTCGAAATAATATTTTTCATATTGCTGCAAGTAATAAAAAAGGAGCTGTATATGACCAGTAAAGACATATACTTATATGGTTCGAAATAAGACTTTTCAAACAAAATAAGGACGAAGATTAGTGTACAGGTATAGTTCATATAGTATAGAATGTTCGTCAAATTGCCAATGCCTCAACCGAAGCGAAAATCGAAGGACCTCAAAATGAAATTTCAGGGTATTTCATGTATCTTTTATTCAAATTATACTTGGAGGACCACTCCTTGAACCTTCGATATAGAGAAATTAATGAAACTAATCAAATTCTCACTCCACGGATGTCATCAATGTACCATTAGTTACTACGGGGAAGTTTGAGGAGCAGCAATGCAGCTAAAGAACAATAAATTAACGGATTTCGATAGATTATGGACAAACATATTCGATTTCCAATTGCTATTTAACTGTTACCCCCAATTCAATCGATATTTTGGATAGCTTTCAAAATTAGAGTTTTCACCGCTTTCAGCCTTTTTATGAATGACTTAAATATTTAAACGGCTCGTTTTAGTTATCCAATCATAACATGATAATAAATTTGCACCTCTTGAATTGCATGAAAACATTTGATATGAATTTTCACAACAATCGAAATCGAGTACAAGGTCGGAACAAAAATTTTAATAAGGAATTACTTGAAATTGTACTGAAAAATTAGTATTTTAATTCAACATATTCAAATTGACTCTGCTCTGACTCTATCGATTTATACATACACACATACATTATGAAATCCTTTAACTGAACAACGCACACACTCAGGCGATCAAATATCTGAGGATAGGGCAGGGATATAGCTAAAATATAGAGCCGCGGAAAATATTTATACTCTGAACAAGGCATATTAAGCTTGCCATAAAGTTTGTAATACGCAAAAGGAATCGTGGAGACCCTATATTATTTAGTGAATTTAGCCACATTCGTCTGCCTGTCAGTCTATCTAAATATACGCGAACTAGTCCCTCAGTTTTTGAAATATTGATCTGAAAATATTCACACGTCCTTTTCTTTCCAAGAAGCTGCTGCTGGAACCGCCGATTTCAAACCACTTTAACTTATAGTTTCTTCTTCATCCTAACTGAATGAAAACAGTCTCTCGAAAAGGTAGTAGCTTTGAAGTACTCAGATTCTAGAAAAGGCAAAAAACCATGTTCTCGTTTAAAAACTTTCGCAAAGTTTTATCCCGATATAATCATTGTTGCTTGATTTGCATACTGGAAAATGAAAAAATCAGATGAAATTTAAAATTGTGTTATATTGGATATGGGCGTGGTTGTAATCGTATTTCGCCTATTTTCGCACTATAATATAGTAATATGAGAAGAATGTTATTTACCGAATTTGGTTAAAATCGGTTAAGCATATCCCAAGATATGGGTTTCACCAAAAAGTGGGCGATGCCACGCCCCTTGCCTAATTTTGAAGTCGATTCTTTTAACGTCATCTCATATCATCCCAGGGATAAAATTTAATGTCTTTGGCGTGTTTAGTGCTTGATTTATCGCGCTTTTATTAGTTTTTAACAGTATCGTTATATGGGTTGTCACCCAATTTCACACTGTCGATA